GCCAAACCCCAAACCTTCTGGGGTCCCAAAGGGCCAAACCCCAAAGGTTCTGGGGTCCCAAAGTGCCAAACCCCAAACCTTCTGGGGTCCCAAAGGGCCAAACCCCAATGGTTCTGGGGTCCCAAAGGGCCAAACCCCAAACCTTCTTGGGTCCCAAAATGCCAAACCCCAAACTTTCTGAAGTCTCAAAGTGCCAAACCCCAAACGTTCTGAGGTCCCAAAGGGCCAGCGCTGCAAACCCCAAACATTCTGGGGTCCCGAAGTGCCAAATCCCAAACATTCTTGGGTCCCAAAGTTCCAGCCCTACAAACCCCAAACGTTCTGGGGTCCCAAAGTGCCAAACCCCAAACTTTCTGGGGTCCCAAAGTGCCAAACGTTCTGGGGTCCCAAAGCACCAAACCCCAAACCTTCTTGGGTCCCAAAATGCCAAACCCCAAACGTTCTGAGGTCCCAAAGTGCCAAACACCGAACATTCTGGGGTCCCAAAGTGCCAGACCTACAAACCCTAAACCTTCTGGGGTCCCAAAGGGCCAAACCCCAAATGTTCTGGGGTCCCAAAGGGCCAAACCCCAAACGTTCTGGTGTCCCAAAGTGCCAGCCCTACAAACCCCAAACCTTCTGAGGTCCCAAACTGCCAAACCCCAAACGTTCTGGGGTCCCAAAGGGCCAAACCCCGAACATTCTGGGGTCCCAAAGTGCCAAACCCCAAACGTTCTGGGCTCCAGCCCTGCGCTGCTGCTGCCCCAAGAGCGGAACCCGAGGCCGTGGGTGCAGAGCAGTTGGAATCGTGNCCCAAAATTACCCCCAAAATCACAGCCCAGCTCCTTCAGCAACAGCGATGGGCACTGGCAGCTGGGGAGGGGGCAGAGGCGGGGTGAGCACCTGAACGCCCCAAAAACATCTCAAAATCACCCCAAAATCACAGCAAAACCACAACCCAAAACTATCCCCAAAACCACCCCAAAAACCACAGCACAGCTCCTCCAGTAACAGCAATGGGCACTGGCAGCTGGGGAGGGGACAGAGAGGGGTGAGCACCTGAACATCCCAAAAACATCCCAAAATCACCCCAAAACCACCCCAAAATCACCACAAAACCATCCCAAAACCACACCAAAAACCACAGCCCAGCTCCTCCAGCAGCAGTGATGGGCACCGGCAGCTGGGGAGGGGACGGAGGGGGGTGAGCACCTGAACACCCCAAAAACATCCCAAAATCACCCCAAAACCACAGCCCAAAATCATCCCTAAACCACAGCCCAGATCATCCAGTAACGGCAATGGGCACTGGCAGCTGGGGAGAGGATAGAGGGGGGGATGAGCACCTGAACATCCCAAAATCACCCCAAAATCACTACAAAAATCACCCCCAAAACCACCCCAAAACCACAGCTCAGCTCCCCCAGCAGCAGCGATGGGCACTGGCAGCTGGGGAGGGGATGGAGGGAGGTGAGCACCTGAACATCCCAAAATCACCACAAAATCACCCCAAAACCACAGCCCAAAACCACCCCCAAAACCACAGCCCAGCTCTCCCAGCAGCAGCGATGGGCACTGGCAGCTGGGGAGGGGACAGAGGGAGGTGGGCACCTGAACACCTCAAAAACATCCCAAAATCACCCCAAAATCACCCCAAAACCACACCAAAACCACAGCCCAAAACTACCCCAAAATCACCCCCAAAATCACAGCCCAGCTCTCCCAGCAGCAGCGATGGGCACTGGCAGCTGGGGAGAGGATAAAGGAGGGTTGAGCACCTGAACATCCCAAAAACATCCTAAAACCACCACAAAACCACCCCAAAACCACCCCAAAATCACCACAAAACCACAGCTCAGCTCCCCCAGCAGCAGCAGTTTCAGGTGCTGGGCTCAGATTCTGCAGGGGAGGTGCCTGAAGGGAATTTCAGAGCAAGGAGAGGTGGGACAGGGAGATTCTGAGGCTGGAGAGGGGAAAAGAGGGAGAAAACTGAGAGAAAAATCTCCTGAGCCTCTGGGGCATCCCCAGGCAGTCCCAGGCCCCAGCATTCACAGAAATGGGCACAGGGACCCCAGACAAAGCTCCCAAAGTGCCAAACCCCAAACATTCTGGGGCCCCAAAGTGCCAGCCCTACAAACCCCAAATGTTCTGGGGTCCCAAAGTGCCAAACCCCAAACGTTCTGTGGTCTCAAAGTGCCAGACCTACAAACCCTAAAAGTTCTGTGGTCCCAAAGTTCCAACCCTACAAACCCCAAACGTTCTGGGGTCCCAAAGGGCCAAACCCCAAACGTTCTGGGGTCCCACAGGGCCAAACCCCAAACGTTCTGGGGTCCCAAAGCGCCAGACCTACAAACCCCAAACGTTCTGGGGTCCCAAAGGGCCAAACCCCAAATGTTCTGTGGTCTCAAAGTGCCAAACCCCAAACCTTCTTGGGTCCCAAGGTCCCAAACCCCAAATATTCTGGGGTCCCAAACTGCCAAACCCCAAACCTTCTTGGGTCCCAAAGTGCCAAACCCCAAACGTTCTGGGGTCCCAAAGGGCCAAACCCCAAACTTTCTTGGGTCCCAAAGTGCCAGCCCTGCAAAGCCCAAATGTTGTGGTGTCCCAAAGTGCCAGCCCTACAAACCCTAAATGCTCTGGGGTCCCAAAGGGCCAAACCCCAAACCTTCTGGGGTCCCAAAGGGCCAAACCCCAAAGGTTCTGGGGTCCCAAAGTGCCAAACCCCAAACCTTCTGGGGTCCCAAAGNGAAGAAATGTGACCCTTTAAAGGGAATAATCAGTAAGAAATTATTTCCTTTAAAGGGAATAATCTGAAGAAATGTGACCATTTAAAGGGAATAATCAGTAAGAAATTATTTCCTTTAAAGGGAATAATCAGTAAGAAATGTGACACTTTAAAGGGAATAATCTGAAGAAATGTGACCCTTTAAAGGGAATAATTTGAAGAAATGTGACCCTTTAAAGGGAATAATGAGTAAGAAATGTGACCCTTTAAAGGGAATAATCTGAAGAAATGTGACCCAAAACCAGGAGGGAATTTAGGCACACAACTGCCACGTGTCCCTAAAGGGTTGGGGGGCTTTAGGGTGGCTCAGAGAAATGGAGAAACACAGCGTGGAGGCCTCACTGGGATTGGGACACCAACATTTATTCAAGATTTCACCTAATTTGAGGGTAATTGGGCACCAAATGTTTTTGTTTGGGTATTCCTGGATGAGATCCCTGCGCACACTTTGCAACGGACGGCAGAGCTGGATCTCCCACTACACCCGGACGCTGAAATCTGGCTTTTCCTCCCCAAAATCCATGCGAGAGCTCACCTGCAGCCGTGTGGGGTCTCTGGGCAGCGGTGGAGAGC